TATTCGATTTTCCATCCACTTCGCGTTTAATCTGAAGAAAATGCTGCTGAAGCCACTGCAATGATTTGTGCTGCATATGGAGAGAACGCTGTAAGTCATACTACATGTAAAAGATGATATCAAAATTTTGCCAAGGAGATTTCAGTCTTGAGGATGAACCGCGTACTAGACGCCCTCAAAAGATTGAAACGGACGAATTGCAAGCACTGCTGAATATAAACTCTGCGCAAACTGAAAAAGAGCTTGCAGAACAGCTTGGCGTTACGCAGCAAACCATTTCCGTACGTTTACATACGATGGAAAAGGTTCAGAAGGAAGGCAGATGAGTTCCGCATGAATTGTCCGAAGACAACAAAAATCGTCGGCACTGCACTCACTTTGCTTTCAAAGTTCCGGAAAAAAGATTTTCTGCACAAAATCATTACAGGCGATGAAAAGTTGATTCTTTATGATAACCTTAAACGTAGAAAATCATGGGTTGACCCTGGTCAATCTTCGACATCGACGCCAAAGCCCAATATCCACGCCAAAAAGGTTTTGCTCTGTATCTGGTGGGATTGGAAAGGTGTGTTGTATTACAAGTTGTTACAACCGGGTGAAACAATCACGGCAGACCGCTACCAACAACAATTGACCAATTTGAGCGATGCATTAGAAGAAAAGAGGCCATTTACTGGCCAAGGACTGGTCGTAAAGTGATCTTGCTTCATGACAATGCTCGATCACATGTTGCGAAAGCGACTCAGGACCACATCTTTGCGTTAGGCTGGGAACTTCTCCTGCACGCGGCGTATAGCTCAGACATGGCGCCTTCCGATTACTACCTATTCCGGTGGCTGCAGCATCATTTGGCTGATATACATTTCGTGAGATTTGAAGAGATACGAAAATGCATTGATGACTTTATCGTTTCGAAGCCGGTGAGTTTCTATTATCAAGGAATTCGCAAGTTATCCGAAAGATGGCAAAAGGTCGTTGATGCAAACGGAGAATATTTCGCTGATTAATATTTTTTTGTTTGTTTTTGAATAAAGATTGAATTTTACAAAAAAAGCTCAGAACTTTTTTGTACACCTAATAGTATTGAGAAAAATCTTGGTTTTTAGATTTTCACAACCTTCTATTGAGATTAAAATCAATACTTTATACTCGATTGAAAAATTATAAGTCGAAAAAAGTACAATCAAAAATAGAACTTGTTTTCGTCAATATAAATTATAAATCACTATATATTTATAAATTACTTTTTAATGTATAAATATTTACCATATCTTTGACTTTCTGACTGCGTGCGTCTGTCATGATAACAAAACCGTCATTATCAAATTCCCGTAACATTAAATTTCTCGAACTGACTTTGGAATTTCTAAAATAAGAAATATATTCATCTTACATCATTCTACTAAGTAATATATTTGCAGGCTATACTTACGGGGAAGAGACAGTTGATAGACAACAGACATCTATCAGTCTTTTTTGAAATTTCATTGTTTCGTCGCGCCATAATCTGAAGAGATCGACAGGATTGTCAACAGGAATGATTTTTGCGATACCCACGTGATCTCCAGTTGTTGCCATTTTCTTTGCAAAGTACATATGAATTAGCTCAGCATAGCGTTGCATAGGATAAAAATATTCTTACAAATTGTTTACTGAAAGAGATTTATCTCTTATAAGAAATAAATAGAATGATAAGTTTATCTATTTTTAATAAATAGATAAGCAAATTATTTAATTGAATAATAACAAACTACCGATTTGCAACATTCAAAAAGAATAACTTTAGATATATATTAGATATACTTCAAAATATTAGATATTAGATATTAGATGTATTTCAAAATATAAACGAATAAAACAGAACTATTTCAGCTTATATTTATATTGTTTTATTTTATGTTTGTAAATGTAATATAAAAAATGCAATTTAATTTTTTATAAATAAATAGATTATATTTTTTATTTGCGTTTTTTTGCTGAAAATATATTAAAAAATATAAAAATTAAAACTTAATGTTTTTTCATATAGAGCAGATTATTGCAGCGATATCGCAGCAATGTTACAACATTTCTACGAAATAATTGAAATGTTGCAACATTATGTTCTGTTATATTTGAGTTTAATGTTTAAATTGGAAATTAATTAATGTTGTCATATCAATTAATACTTATATTTATACTTATAAGACTTTTGGGCTAACAGATAATAACAAACATGTGATATTAATGTTAGTTAATATTACGTCACCTTTCTTCTACAAAGAAACAACGAATATCTTTTTCATCATTCATCTAATTAATTATTCAAAGAAATTTATCATTGGAGAGATGTGATTATGTTTCGTTTATTAAGTAATTAAAAATATATCAACGTGAACTGTTTCGACTAACAACAATCACGCCACTAACTGACACTAGCACTGTTTTTTCATCGATTTCCATCATATCCCACCTTCTGTCCCCACGATTCTGCGCAAACTGCACTTTGACAAGATTGCCAACGCGTTATATAATGCAATATAATGCAATATCATAAAATTTCTCTCGTGGTAAATCTATTAAAATCAGCAATATTGATGTTACAAACATTTTCAAATCAAATTTATCTTTATTATACATATCAGGATGTGGGTTCAAAAAAAAATGTGACATAAAACATGAGATTATTATTTTAAGAAACTTTAATGCGTAAACGATCTTACAAAATGTAGAGGCATTGTAATCATTAAAATAATGATTCGAATCTAAAAGAACACAGATGTAGAGTAAATGTAGAGCGAGAAAAATAAGTTAAAAAATTATTCCACGATAACAAAATATTTTCGTATTCTAAATAAAAGACATTTGTATATACAAGAATGCGATTGCACGTTCCAGTGATTAATAACAGGATATGTTCTTATCTCGTATCTGATAAAATTATACATTCATAACAGTAACATGTATTCGTGCAAGATGAACGCAATTGAGTCTCAATCGATATGCAGCAATGATTTTATATCATGCGTAACAGTTTAGAAATTTCTATCACAATTTCGATATCAGTCCTATATTTTAAAATGCGATGGCTATTCTTTTCATTCGAGATCCATCTTGTGTACATCGAACATGCATCTTGTTCACGATATGACATTTATTAAACGTTAACTTGCTGACAGATTAGGCAATGGTAGATTTAATCCAATCAATATGCGATGATATTTTATCATATAATCGAGGTCTCTCAATGCCATCTTTTGAACAGGCTATCCTCCAGCTACCAATACCTGTTAGTGCCCATTTTCGGCCATCTGTTTGAAGACATAGCATTGAACTACCGGCAAGCTCCTCTTCCTATCGAAAGTAAATAATAAAGTTCCATTTCGTATTATTAATCAATTTTGCATATTATTTTAGAATTTATTTATATCTTAAAAAAATAATGAAGAAAGTTTCTTTCTTGAAGTGATAGAAAAATATGTATAATAAAATCAATAGAAAACATTTAAATAGAGAAAGAGATTTTGACTTTATGTTAAAAAATTTTAGCTTACGTTGCAATCGTCTGTGGAATATGCTTGCTCGGTACAAACACTATTCACTGAAGGGATGCTGATATTTTCACATTTCTCCATTGCACTATGTTTGAGTTGTACCCTTTGTAGTAAATCGCCTGTCAAAAGAGAAAGTCTTTACATATTTGTTTCAAACATCTTTGTGTTTTAATTATTCAAACAAAAATAGAGCATATATATAAGAGCATATATTAATGTTTAATAATTCAATAATTTTTCAACTCTTTATGTTTCTCTATTTAATATAGTTCTAATTGGATTTTTATGTATTATTAAAATGAATATTAAAGTGTATTTTTAGTCTCAAGTGTTCTGTATTGATGAATTTAATTTATAGTTTGATATTTAATAGTGTCTAAAAAATTTTTTAAATATACGCTTTTTAAATTTTAAAAGGCAATTGGAGAAAATAAGTAAAACACAATGATTGCCAACATACGATTTCTTGCCCAGCCAAGTGTGTTGCATTGCGATGTATTGCTCGGTGGATTCTCGCTGGAGGGCAGGCAAACCGGTCTCACAAAGTCCGAAAAGGTCGTCACTGGTCTATCCAATTTTACCAAAACGGTCGTACCCTCCACTGGTGATTTAATCATACCGACAATCCTACGTTCTTGTTCCCAAGGTGATGTGCTCGAGAGTCTCACGACACCAAGCCGGGCCGACCACTCCGCTTTCGGTTGACTATAAAAATAATGTATACAGTGAAAATTAAAAATGTACATTAAAAATGTTTACTTAAAAGATATTAATAACAGATTTTTTTCTTTCAAAATTTTATAATTATAATATTAATTATACAATGTTAATGTAAAATGTACAATGTGAAAAATTATTTTCAAATTAATATTTTTAATAAAGCTTTTAATAAAACAAAATATTGATCTTACCCTTGGAAACAGTACGCAGTTGTGAGCAACCAATTGTCTGCCACGAGAGTGGCATCACAAACATGAACTCCCTCCTTGAAGAGTGCAACGTGCCAAGGCCAATCACCGGGTTCTGCCATCTTATTGAGACCATTAATACCGCCGTTGATATGCAGAGGTTGTATTCCACATTCTGATTTCCAAAAATTAAAATGAAGACATAGATAGAAATGCGCAACATCAAAATATAAATAGAAAAACGTATTAAAAATGACAATTATTAATAATTTCAATTTAAAAAAATAATAAATTAGCACAAGATTAAAGCAATACATACATAACTGTATCAAAGCATTTATCGAAAAGATGAGCTCATACGTAATATTTATTATTATAAATAAAGAATTCATACCAAGATCAGAACAACGGACGTACAGAACTTCTTTGCTAGGACAAGGAGCCCGGACAAAAGTAATTTCCGATGCAGATGGATCTTCCATATATACATATGGAACATCTTCTTCATCATCAGTCCTTACTTCAACGGAAGCTACACCACTATATTGAAAAATTGCAGTTGATAACAGTTTCTAAATTATAAATCTTATCTTATAATAGCATAGAATTGTTATATAAGATATAAATAAATGTTAAATTATAATTTTCTAAATAATTCTAAAATAATATCAGTCAAATAATTAAACTTTTTCTGTTGCTTATTTTTATTTTATTAGAAAGAAAGAAATATTTATTAGAAGATATTTACGTATAAGTGAGTAAAGTGCACAACGAGCTCGCTGCCGTTTGAAGAACGTTATCCATCTCCGTGTCCGGTAAAGTAGCATTTAAGTTTGCCGTACAGAGTTTCCCGATGGTGCCTTTCTCATTGAATACAACATAGCCCTCTTTGTTATACTTTGCGACGTGTGGCGTGCTCCAGGATTGTGATCTTAATTCATGAACGCTCGGTGCTAAGAATACTGCGACAAAAAATGTGCAACATCATACATTTATTTTGATTTAATTGACATTATCTCTTTGTAAAACATAAATTAATGTTTCTATTGATCTTCTCAAATTAAGCTTAAATAATGCAATTTCCTTCCGTTATATATTACTTACGACAGTCTTTCTCGTCGCTGCCATTCGGACAGTCCATCTTGCCGTCACATCGCTTCGTATGTGGTATACAGTTTCTTCCTACTCCGCAATGCATGTAACCATCCTTGCAGTAGGCGCAATTTTTCTCATCCGAAAGATCCGGGCAGTCAATCACACCATCACAAATTCTCGGAGATAGAGCTTTCGACTGAAGCGCTTGTACGCATCCTATATTAATGTTCGTATCGTTAATTCATTTGATATAGCGATTTTATAATTTGGTTAAAAAAAGGCCGTATTTTGTATTATATGTATTATTAATCTTGCTATATTTCTTAATTTTAATTTTCGTACCTGGCTTCGATCTGCAACTGCCAGGACCGGCATATTCCGGAAAGTTGGAACAATCCAAGGCGCGTTTTATCTTCTCAGGAAGACGATTGCCGCATCCATTCCAGAATTCTCTGCAGAAGCTCTTACAAGGTAATTGCAGCAGATCCTCTGGTTGACTCGATCGACACGCGGGCTGCAACACCTGGCAGACGAAGTCGTAGGCCAAAGCATAACATTCCGCATCGACCAGTTCTCTGATTTCAATAATATTAATTAGATTATATTATTAATTTGAAAATAAGGAAAAATAAATTTAAAGTTAATATCGCAAGTTTTTTTAATTCAGACATGTAAAAATATTATAAATATAAAGAACAAAGTTTTAAATTAACTTAATACGAAGCATGTTGTTTAAAATAAGTTTTGTTAATAAAATGAAACTTAATGAAATGTATGATTTCTGTTGTTAGGAAATATGCTAATTTTAATCTAAATAAATCTAATCTAATCTAGTTAAATCCATCGTGGACTTATCACGTCCCCAAAGGATGGCATACCTAAAGGCAATAACATCCTCTTCAACGTCTGCCAATGATCTATGTCCTAATATGTTCGGATACGAGCTGACATTGTAAGGGAGGTGTTTACAATAGGATAAGTCTAGCTTGCTGCATCTTCTTGGTGGAGGGACTGTGGTCGTCGGCGGTAACGTCGAGATGGTCGACTGCGGACTACTCTGCGCATTGAGGGCTTTCAAGCTTTCCTGCACTTCGAGACTTTTGGCCTCTATCGTCAGATTTGCCAAATACCGTGAAGTTTCAGGATTCAATTCCCGCGATAAAATGTCTACGATATTTCCAGTAGTTATAGTCTGATATCGTGGGTCAAACCTCACGTCAAAGTGTACCACCAAATCGCGGCCTTCCACCCTACAATTTTTAAATACAAACTTATTTTAAAAAATATCAAGAACTTCAAGAATACTATTAGCTATCGAGATAGCTAAAAATCATATTAATCGTATACCATTTTTATAATACTTGATATTTCTCTTTTTCGTGATTTTACCTTATAAGGTATCATATCAATTTTGCAACTTATTAAATCAATTAAATTTATAATTATATCAAGTATCAACGCGATGCAATGTATCTCGTGGACCGATGAGGCTAAATCTGGAGAAATCCACAGAGTCGGATGTGATACATTATTGATGAGCATGACCGCAATAATGGTGGTTACATTTCATTGAACGCTGAAAGGAGTAAGTGTCGTGAAATCACGAGAAAGCTGCGAAACGATCGCATCCGATTTCTCTCCCGCATACTGCCCCGAGCCGTTTTCATCGGTTTCCACGACTGGTTTCGTTCCTTCCACCGTTTCCTTCCACGAAAACGGATTTCATGGAAGAGACGAGAAAACAGCCGAGGTAGAGATCGTTTGATCTACGTGGCTATTTTATGATTGACCGATTTTCTGATCTTACACGTAACGCCCTCTCTGTCGGATGCCGTTGCATAATTTATTTTGCAAGCATTTTTTTGTGTGTTTTAGATGTGCATAGCATAAAGAAAGGCGACTAATAGGAGATAAAATAATGGGATATCTAAGTATTAATATTTGTATTTATATTAATTATAAATGATTAAGCTTCGTTACCCATCAAGCGCTAGGACATCTGCTGCGAGGAACGATAATTTCAGCCAGCTGCGTCGGAAGATAAGATTAAGACGATCGCGATATTCTCGCGACCGTATTCGAAAGGCCTCGGTAGAAGGATCAGCTAGTTCCGCGGTGAAAGAATCGCCTTTGGTAACTCGGAATATCGCGAGGAATATTTGATCACCGGGTGGATCCGACGTGAGGAACGTGTCTGAAATAATAAAAGAAAAATATTTAATAATGATAAATTAATAAGACGTGAAAATGAGTAGCAAGAGGCGAAATAGACTGAAAATATCCATAATTTCAACTATCACACAAAAAATTTAAAGATTTAGAAATAGAAAATCCAGATGTAGCATTAAAAAGTCTTGTCCATGGTAACAAAGAGATATTGTATAAAAAATTTTCGGAAGCCGTAGATGTATGCCAAGGATAAAAGAGATATAAATAAATATCACAACTATTAGTTTAATGAATTCAATGTGTGAATAATATCTTTTTGCGATATAATTTCATTGTTCTTCGCACATCGATTAAATTAATGAACAATGTTACAACGGGTCGCATTAATCAAAGTAAGAAGGACTAACATACGGAGCTGATTATGCTGTAGACGTAATGAAAGTTAATTGTCTGTGTATATTACGCTCGTGAAAATTATAGCGGCGTCCTCGTTGCCGCCAACAAAGCATGTAATGAATCATTATCATTCGCTGCCTCATTAGACGTTACGAAGTATCTCTGCGTGACATTTTGCATTCCTACCGTCTGAAGACCCCACAAATTTACGAGGGGCTACGAGAGTGATTTGTCGATAGAGGCTGGCTGGAGTTTTACGAAACAACTTGACCGATAAGCAGCCGCGAGAAGGAATTTAGAACGTTGGGGTCTCACCAACGTATATCGCGGTACGTATCACAATCTGGCTTTCTAATGCACGATCGGCAAATGATAGAATCGAGCGTGCAAAACGTGCCAACAATGTTGAGGCGGGTTTCGCTCCTCGAGCGTTGTCATTAGAACGTTGGCGCGGTCAATTTTCCACGTGCCGGGCAAAACGAAACAGATCAGGAGCACGCAGGGGCAGGAGCCGCAGGGATCTCAGTTTCTCGCTAGGAATCACCTTTCACCAGCCCTCTCCGATTTGACGCGGCTTACCTAGCGAGAAAACCTCTCTTCCGAGATCCTTCCGAGAAACCGACCCTTCGGTTGCGGCCATGGACGAAATATTTTTTCTGAATATAAAATTACGGTGTATTTCTTTTAATTCACACTTTAATTTATATTTTAATCCTGATTAATCATAAGGATCAGTTTGGTTTATTTCCTTTCATTTGAAT